CAAAATGTAATTGCTAAAAGGAAAAATAGGACTTTAAAAGAAATGATGAATTCCATGTTAATAAGTTCTGGATTATCTCAGAATTTGTGGGGGGAAACAATACTTTCTGGTAATTATATTCTTAATACAGTACCCCGAAAGAAAGTAAATCAAACACCTTATGAAATGTGGCATGAGAGAGCACCATCCTACAAATATTTAAAAGTGTGGGGGTGTTTGACTAAAGTGGCTATTTCTAGTCCTAAAAAGACTAAGATAGGTCCTAAAACAGTTGACTGCATATTCATTGGTTATGCTAAGAATAGTAGTGCATATCGGTTTTTGATTCATAAGTCAGTACATTCCGAATGCATGTAAATACTATTATTGAATCTCAAAATGCATCGTTCTTGAACATGTATTTCCGAATAAAACTGGACAAGAGAGTAGTACTAATGAAAGATCTTATGATGCTATTACTAGTTATGATCAAGAACAAGAGTAAGAGATAGATCAAAATGAAGAAGAGAAACCTAGGCGTAGTAGACGTACTAGAACCTCAAAATCTTTTAGTCCAGATTTTCTAATATTTTTGTTAAAAAAGTGAACTATTTACTTTTAAAGAAACTATGTCCAGTCCTGAGACTCTTTTATGGAAAGAAGCTGTAAATAGCGAAGTTGAATCCATCTTGCAAAATCACACTTGGGAATTGGTGGATTTGCCACCAGGTTGTAAACCTTTTGGGTACAAATGGATTTTCAAAAGAAAAATGAAAGCAGATAGATCAATTGACAAATACAAGGCAAGACTTGTAGTCAAAGTATATAGACAAAAAGAAGGTCTTGACTACTTTGACACATACTCACTAGTTATTAGAATAACATCCATTAGAATGCTAATTGCCATTGCATCTTTGTACAATCAAGAAATTTATCAAATGGATGTTAAAACAACTTTCTTAAATGGTGAGTTGGGTGAAGAAATTTATATGGAACAACCAGAAAGATTTTCTGTTCCAAGAAAAGAAAAGAAAAGAAAGTGTGTAAATTAGTTAAATCATTATATGGTTTAAAACAAGCGCCAAAGCAATGGCATGAAAAATTTGACAAGGCAATGATGTCCAATGGATTTAAAATTAATGAATGTGACAAATGTGTTTATATTAAAAATACAGACAAAGGTTATGCAATAGTATGTCTTTATGTGGATGATATGTTCATTACAGGTAGTAACAATGACATGATTGTAAAGGTTCTAAGATATCTTCGATTTACTCGCAACATTGGGCTTAATTATACTAGATATCTAGCAGTACTTGAAGGATATTGTGATACAAATTGGATATCGGATACTAGAGACTTAAAATCCACCAGTGAGTATGTCTTTACTTTTAGTGGGAGCGGTTGTATCTTGAAAATCTTTCAAATAGACTTGCATTGCTAGGTCTACTATGGAATCAAAATTTATAGCTTTAGATAAAGCTGGGAAAGAAGTAGAATGACTTCGTCATTTCCTTGAAGATATTCCAATGTGGCCAAAACTGGTGCTTGCTATATGTATACATTGTGATAGTCAATCAACAATAGGTAAAGCACAGAGTCATATGTATAATGGTAAGTCACGATACATTCATCATCGACATAACACCGTAAGACAACTACTCTCAAATAGAGTTATTTCCATTGAACATGTGAAGTCTGAAGACACCATAGCGGATCCACTAACCAAAGGGTTAGCAAGAGTGTTAGTTGAGAATTCATCGAGGGGAATGAGACTTAAGCATATTAAATAAGAGTTACCACAACGGCAACCCAACCTAGTTGACTGGAAATCCAAAGATCTAGGTTCAAAGGAACAACCGAGTTGTGTATGACTCATAAGGATCATTGGGGAGTCAAATTTCTACCCATTTCTACGATGAAATAGTGATGTCTACAATGTTTTAGGTTAAGTAATACTTTTAATGATTCTTATATCTAGGAATACCTAGTGGAGTATGGCAGGATACTCTTCATAAGAATCACTTATATAAGCGTGAACTGGGCCAGTTCTATGAGATTTGTGAAGGGCTACAATTCTCTAGAGCACTCATAAAGGACCAGGTTGCTTAGGGCCAAAATGAACACAATAGCGAGAACTAAACTGTGTCTGGTAATATACTGTGTGAGTTTTATTGTCTTGGTTTACACAAATAGCTGAACAGTTCAAGACATCATGTTCACTGGTTAACTAGTAAATCCGATAGTGTCTCACAAGGGAAAGTTCAAAGCCAAAAGCTACTTATTATTTGCAGAATATTTTCAATTTCTGTACTCTTATAATTAGATCATGTTGTTGCATTTTCTATCTGTCAAATTCCATTCATGTAGGGGATTGTTGGAATTATGATTTTTTATAGGCTTATTTTGGACCAACTTTGGTGGTGTTTGGGAAGTCTTAAACTTGGGTTTTTTTTTTTTTTTTTTCACAAAAAGACAAACTTTTTGCAAAATCAAAAAAAAAACACATCCAAACAAAATATCACATCCAACACCATAATCGTTTCACTTTTTCTCTCACAAATATCACATCCAATCACAAAAAAACTCAACTATCTTCCCAAACACAAAAAAAAAAATTCTCCAATAATATCCTACAACTAAAAAAACCTACATAAAAACTCACTTCCCAAACACCCACTTTGAGCCCAAATTTGAGTGGGTTCCACACGTCTTTTAGGATGGGTCCAAAGAGGTGACGTATTCTTTGCCGTGCGGCAAGTCACACGGTGAGGACGGTGCATCAAAACCATTTATGAGTGAATGGAAACTTGACGTCGTTTTCGGTTTTGTGGAATAGGAAATTGAAGAGTCAAAAGTGGGTTTTCTTTAAATGGTTGTCCCACATTGAAACTTTAAGAGAGCTTGTATGTGTTTATAAGCTCTAGGTGGACAAACTTGGGTTGGGCCCTAAGGGGCACCCCAAGTTTGTAGAAGAGAAGAGTTATGGACAAACTGGCCTTTGGCTCAAACCAACACACGCGCGCGCGTGCCACAGTTCATCCGTCCGTCCTGACACCAATGTGGGTGTGGGTCGGTCCTAATATTAATTTTTTCAAATTCTTGCAGGAAAATTATTTGAATTTCTAAATGAAATTAATTTAAATTTTTCTGTCCAAACAGTCCACTTTTTCAGTCCATTTTCTAACATGTTCAAACAGATTGTACCAAACAGATTTATTTTGTTCCCAGACAGGTTCAAAACTGGTCCAAACAGTTTGCACCTGTTCTATTCTGTTCTGGTTCAGACCTGTTCATTTCAAAAAAAAAACCTGTTTGGTTTCTTTTCATACCTGTTCGGATCTGTCCAACAATCACCACTATGCCTATAAATTCAGGATCATTCCAGTAGCTTTATTAATTACGAAATTTCTTTGCTTGCTTCTCATTTTGCTCTCATGCATTCTAATTCTTCATACCAGTTTTTAGGAAAATTTCTGTGAGTATAGAATATAGGTTCTAGTTCGCCGTACAGACTGTTTGAAATACTACTACAATTTGTGTAGATCATTGTATCCTGGGAGATAGACGCCATTTATTCATAAGTACTGAAGCGAGATGAATCTATCTTAAGGACAGAGTGTCATACACTCGACTTGATCTTTTTTGTACTTATTCATTTCGGTAAATAAATTCAGTAAGTAATTTATTTTATTTGTTTGATTTGTTTTACATTATTTTGTTTTATACAGAAGATTGGTCCAACAACAATAAAACAAAAATTATGAAAAAGTAGCTTAAAACTTATGAAATCTAGTGGAACAAGTTTTAGCTGCAAATGACAGACTTGAAGTGGCTTATTCAAAACAGAGATATGAAACACAAACATTATTTTTTATGTGGAAACAAAAATATATGAGCTTTGAACACAACAAATAAGTTGGTGGGGATGAAAAACCTATATAGCAGGATAGGGATTTGATCTTTGAGAAGTCTGGACAAGAGAAGCAATATGCTGATTGCAAAATTCTCTAGCTGATAAGCATGCCTCCTGCAATATCATAGTGTATAGCATTCTGTACCATTAGCTATAGAGAAGACTTAAGTGCACAGAAGACTTTCACTGTAAATAAAACACGCATCTTCTGTGAAAATCTTCTGTGTTCCTAGCATTGTTGTTAACTGCATTCTATATGGCCACATATGTATGTATATTGTGTGTGTGTATGTGTGTGTGTGCGAGAGAGAGAAAGAGAGAGAGAGAGAATACCCTTGGCCTGAACAAAAACTCCAAGAGTATGAGAGGTGAGTGGTGTTGGCCTGTAAAGCTTCTTGTACTTGGGGTTTGTTAAGGTAGATGAATACTCTATCTTGGAGGCATGGATCACCAACTATTGTTATTGAAGCAACCTGTCACATAAAATTTGAACTCTTATTATCTACTAGAAAAGCTGTGTTGGTTGTTTGGCTTGTTACAGCTGGACATCTCACCAATGTAGAGATTTGTTGGTTCTTTGACACGTTGTAGTTGGACATTTCGCCAAGATGGAGATTTGTTAGATTATTGGTTCAATGTCCCATTTCCAATTTGATTTGGTATTCTATCTTTTAATTGGAATAAAATTTGTGAGAATATATATTAAGTCAAACTTGACTCGTTTCGACTCTCATATTAGTTTAAATTTGTAAGAAACCTATTTCATTTGGCTACCTTTGGAAACATATTATTTTAGTAATTTTTTGATTTTTTGATTAAAATATGAGATTAAAAAAATTAGTATGTTTGGAATGACTTTCCTTTAAAAATAACACTGGGTATCGGGCGAGCTAAGCCTCGAGCCGAGCTTTTGGGCGGGCCTTGAGCGGGCCAATGAGTCGGGCCGGGTCGGGCTTCAAAACGATGGCCCTGGCCCAAGACCTCAGGCTGGACTCGGGTCTAAATGAGCCGGGCCCACCTCGGACCGCCCGCGGGCCACGGGCCAAAATTACACCCCTACACTAGGCAACAGGCAAGTGGGCAGAAGGAGATCGTGGGTATCAGTGTCACTACCCATCTCCTCTTGCATTCTTTGAAACACATTGGTGCATTCCTTTGACAGATTGTGATGAATAAGCTCCAACAAGTACTTTGATTCATTACACACAGTGTTTTTCAGCATAAACATTTCATCTGAAATGACTCCACGAGACCACAAATATTCAGCATCATTCACACTGATTTCGATATCTAAAAGCGGGTTACCCAACTGACAAAAAAAAAAAAGTTGCTACGATGAAAATTTTGAAGCTAAAGCTATCAAGAGATAATAAAAAAAAAATATGCTACAATGTTTGTTTTGAGTTGACATGGACAGGCCCACAAAGGTCATGAACCACTATAAACAACCCAAGCCCATCAATCGGAGCACAATACATAACCCAGCCGAAGAAGTCCAGAACAGCTGGAATCCAATATGGCATAAGAACCAATGGCATTTAGGCACGTGGTGGGTGAAAGATGAGCCACATCAGCAGACAAAGATCTGCAAAGTTATTGCCACGGCACATCACCATTAATGCAGCGCGTCACAGCATTTATTACGACAACACCTCCCGTCGGAACAGGGTCCCCTTACCCTGAACAAGGTAAGCTACAGCATAGACTTTTGGTGAGGAGGGCAGGTCGGAAGAGACAACGAAATGATTACCAAAGAATATAAGCAAATGTTGAAGACAAGAAGAAGGTTAAGCTTTCTATCTCTAATCTCTCCCTCTATACTCTACTTCTCTTCTTAACTTGCTCGTCAGAGGGTTCACTGGGGGACTACCCCGTTCCCCGTTGAACTTGTTTGCAAGTTGTCCGGTGGGCACGATCATTTGGGCTTGGGCTTGAGGAGCATAGACCAGTTCGCTCCATTCACTGGAATAAACTGCATCAACATGAGCGATTTGAAAACTTACTGCAATTGTGTTGAGCTTGACTGGTTTGATGTTGGGTTGTTTGTTGTAGTCTAGTAATAATGCTGCAAGCTGTGGAATGTAGTGACCTACCACCATTTTGTGCACAAATGTTACTTACAGTTTTATGGATAGGATTAGGAAATTTAGGGAAATAAATAGTATCATGAGTCTCACATATTTTTTTTAGTACGATTAGATTGTTATTTGAAGACTTATTTTTTAGGATAAATTATAAACACACCCATGAAATTTATTAAAAATATAGATTTTTTTGCTCATGTTTGAGAAATCACACAACAAATGGCCCCCCATCTATTAATCAACCATTAAGTCAAATTAACAGAGTGTATGGGATAAACAACAGATTTATTTATTTATTTTATTTTATTTCAGAATAACATTTATGATGTTAAAACACTTCAGTTTTTTTTTTCCCCCTTCTTATCCCACCATTTTTACTCTCTATTTTCTTTTAATTAGTAACACCATTTTGCCCAATCATCACACCTCCCACTTTCAATCAGCACCACTGTCATTGTTGTCTACAAGTATTTGGTGTATCATCGAGAAATGTTAGAGAATAATGTAGTGCTGTAGAGAAAGGAATTTGGCGGTGGATCGATGAAAATGTTGGTAATATGATAATTTTATTTTGGTATTGAAGGGTATTTGGGTAATTTTATTTTTTTCCCCCTATTAGTTGAGGAAAAAAATTGACAACGGAGTATTTGTAGATTTTAGAATGCGAAGAAGGAATCTATATTTTTAACAAACCTCACTAGCACAAAAAATAAATAAATAAATAAATAAAATAAAAATAAAACAAAAAGGCCTCAAAAAATATATTTTTTATATTGTATTTTAATTTTTATTCTGATAAAAAAATGTATTTTGATTTTTGTTGTATGATAGTAGAGGAAAGATAAGGGTTGATTTGGAAATTGACTTTTGTAGTGATTATTGACTTTTAATGAAAATACGTGTAAAAATATATAGAAAATTAATTGACTTTTTGAAGTGCATTTTTTTTTAACTTTTATCCTATATCAACCACTTTCCAAACAATTAGGGCATTTGGCGTAATGATTATGTAATATCTTTTGTAGTGTAGGATCTTATGTTTAACTCCTATGAAAAGGAGTTCGATACCATTTTTGATAGTTTATTTCTCCTCCCATTATGGAGATTGGTATGTAGTTAGTGGTTGTTGGGTTTGGGCTTGGGTTTGGCTTGGTGAACTTGGTTTATTGGTTGTGGTGATATGTAATTAGTAGTGGATATTGAGCTTGAGTTTGGCTTGATGGACTTCGTTTATTAGTTGTGTTGGATTTTTTTGACTTTCTAACTATTGTGAATTAGTAGTCTATTTGATGATATAAAAATTTCTCATATTTGTAATTATTGTCCTATCTATTGAGAAGAAAACAAAAAAAAACACTTCCCAAATACCTTGTTTGATGATATAAATATTTTTTTTATATTTGTAATTAGTCTCCTATCTATTGATTAAAAATAAAATAAAATAAAATAAAAAATTCATTCCCACCCTCTAATTCATCTAAACAAGCATATTCCAATGTTGACGGTAAAGATGTGTTGCAAAGAAACAAAATAGAAGCTATTATTGACTTGATTCTCTGCTCCCATTTTGTCACAATTCTTTATCTCACTCACTGTCATATCATTAAAATTAAAATTTAAAATTAGTTTTTAAAAATTTCTCAATTATACATAACAAAAATAAATAAATTATTAAAAATTTCTTAATTATACATAACAAAAATAAATAAATCATATTAAATTTAAATTGTAGCGATAACAGTAAGAAGGTGGGATATAGAATTCAAAGCTTGTTTTTCTACGATGAAAATTTTGAAGCTAAAGTTATCAAGAGATAATAAAAAAAATCTGCTACAATGTTTGTTTTGAGTGATTTGAAAACTTACTGCAATTGCTTTGAGCTTGACTGGTTTGATGTTGGGTTGTTTGTTGTAGTCTAGCAATAATGCTGCAAGCTGTGGAATGTAGTGACCTACCACCATTTTGTGCACAAATGTTACTTACAGTTTTATGGATAGGATTAGGAAATTTAGGGGAATAAATAATATCATGAGTCTCACATATTTTTTTTAGTACGATTAGATTGTTATTTGAAGATTTATTTTTTAGGATAAATTATAAACACACCCATGAGATTTATTAAAAATATAGATTTTTTTGCTTATGTTTGAGAAATCACACAACAAATGGCCCCCCATCTATTAATCAACCATTAAGTCAAATTAACAGAGTGTATGGGATAAACAACATTTTTTTTTATTTATTTATTTAATTTTATTTTTTTCCAGAATAACATTTATGATGTTAAAACACTTCAGTTTTTTTTTTCCCCCTTCTTATCCCACCATTTTTACTCTCTATTTTCTTTTAATTAGTAACACCATTTTGCCCAATCATCACACCTCCCACTTTCAATCAGCACCACTGTCATTGTTGTCTACAAGTATTTGGTGTATCATCGAGAAATGTTAGAGAATAATGTAGTGCTGTAGAGAAAAGAAAGGAATTTGGTGGTGGATGGATGAAAAAGATGGTAATATGATAATTTTATTTTGGTATTGAAGGGTATTTGGGTAATTTTATTTTTTTTCCCTATTAGTTGAGGAAAAAAAAATGACAATGGAGTATTTGTAGATTTTAGAATGCGAAGAAGGAATCTATATTTTTAACAAACCTCGCTAGCACAAAAAATAAATAAATAAATAAATAAAATAAAAATAAAACAAAAAGGCCTCAAAAAATATATTTATATTGTATTTTAATTTTTGTTGTATGATAGTAGAGGAAAGATAAGGGTTGATTTGGAAATTGACTTTTGTAGTGATTATTGACTTTTAATGAAAACACGTGTAAAAATATATAGAAAATTAATTGACTTTTTGAAGTGCATTTTTTTTTAACTTTTATTCTATATCAACCACTTTCCAAACACTTAGGGCATTTGGCGTCATGATTATGTAACATCTTTTGTAGTGTAGGATCTTATGTTTAACTCCTATGAAAAGGAGTTCGATACCATTTTTGATAGTTTATTTCTCCTCCCATTAGGGGGATTGGTATGTAGTCAGTGGTTGTTGGGTTTGGGTTTGGGTTTGGATTTGGGTTTGGGTTTGGGTTTGGCTCGGTGAACTTGGTTTATTGGTTGTGGTGATATGTAATTAGTAGTAGATATTGGGCTTGAGTTCGTTTATTAGTTGTGTTGAATTTTTTTGACTTTCTAACTATTGTGAATTAGTAGTCTATTTGATGATATAAAAATTTCTCATATTTGTAATTATTGTCCTATCTATTGAGAAGAAAACAAAAAAAACACTTCCCAAATACCTTGTTTGATGATATAAATATTTTTTTATATTTGTAATTAGTCTCCTATCTATTGATTAAAAAAAATAAATAAAAAATAAAAAAAAATTCATTCCCACCCTCTAATTCATCTAAACAAGCATATTCCAATGTTAACGGTAAAGATGTGTTGCAAAGAAATAAAATAGAAGCTACTGTTGACTTGATTCTCTGCTCCCATTTTGTCACAATTCATTATCTCACTCACTGTCATATCATTAAAATTAAAATTTAAAATAAGTTTTTAAAAATTTCTTAATTATACATAACAAATATAAATAAATTATTAAAAATTTCTTAATTATACATTACAAAAATAAATAAATCATATTAAATTTAAATTGTAGCGATAACAGTAAGAAGGTGGGATAGAGAATTCAAAGCTTGTTTTTCATTGGATCTTTACCTGCACAACTCTCCCCAGTCAAATATAAATCAGTCTCTAACTAGTTAATAATGAATTGCAGATTGTCCTGAGCTGCAAAAACCCAAGGATTTCTGGACTGAATTCCAAATTTAATCTAACACAAACAACTAGGAACCAAAAAAAAATATATATATATTTATCTATAATCACAGTTGAAAAAAATACCAGTTTGAGTATCATTCCAACTGATGTAATCTGAGCTTGTGTTTGAGTAAGAAAATCCAACACCAATGGGGCTCTCTACATACAGCATGTTTGATTCTGCTCATATTTTCAAATTACCATCAAAACTCTTTGTTGCAAATAACAATTCTCAGAAATGGGTTTTCATGTAATTAATCAATTAAACATAAATATGATGACAAAATTACCCAAATTCCAGGAATATTTGTTTTTCAGCAAGACCCCATCTGACCTCGGCTGGAATGGGCCATGCTCCATAAATGCACCAAAGCCAAGAGAAGAACAACCAAGGCCTTCAATTCAATCCAATCAAAAAATAAAAATACCAAACAACATTATGCAAAAAGTTTAGCATTGATTAATAAACGCGACGCTTGTTTCGACGACAATGTTATTTGGAGAATGTTTAATATAACCAAAAAACAAAGGATTAATTTCACTTTTATCTCCTAAATTATATAGGTTTTTGGAGGGGTCAAAATGCAAATTTCTCTTATAAATACTTAAATAACATGAGAGTAACTAGAATTTTGTTAACTTTGATCATCAATACTACTACTGGGACCTTCTGCAGGCTGCTCTCGGTTGGCGTGATCTTGATGCTAGGCTGCAGAGCTTTGTCTGTATCTGTGCAGTATGTTTTCTGCTGTGTGTGTTGTAGCTTTACCTTTGTTTTCTGCGGTTAGAATGTGTTTGATATTAGTTCTGCAGTTTAGTTTCTAAGTTCTAGTGTTGGTTGGGTTGATGAAAGTTTGCTTTGTGCTCCACTTACTCTATAGGCACTTTAAAGTTGAATTCAGAGACAGTAACCAATGTTACATATTGATCTGTAGAAAAATTCCTCTGCTGTTTAGGTGGCTCTCAGAGTGTTCTGCTGATCGACCTGCTGATTCATCTCAGTGAAGATCTGTGGTGCTAAGGATTGGAGATGAAGGGTTGATGCTCTCAGTTGGGTGTCGGTCAGTTACATCTTTAATGGTCTGTTTGCTGGTTTAGTTTGGCTTTTGTTTCAGTTTTCGGTGCTGAGTGGTGTTCAACCTGCTGGAAATATGTTTTGTGGCTGCCTTCTCTGTTGTATGCTGCTAGCTTGCTCTGCTGCTGTTCTGTTGTGTATAGTGCTTCTGTTTTTTTGGTTTTCTCTCCATGTTGGATTCTCTCCAACTGAAGTTCCGGGCTTAATGTAGCTCCAAGCTCCTCTTTATTGATGTACTCTATCTTGTGCTGAGTGGTGTTCAACCTGCTGGAAATATGTTTTGTGGCTGCCTTCTCTGTTGTATGCTGCTAGCTTGCTCTGCTGCTGTTCTGTTGTGTATAGTGCTTCTGTTTTTTTGGTTTTCTCTCCATGTTGGATTCTCTCCAACTGGAGTTCCGGGCTTAATGTAGCTCCGAGCTCCTCTTTATTGATGTACTCTATCTTTTCATATGATTCCATCAATAAAGATTCTTTTTGCTCATAAAAAAAAATAAAAATTACTACTACTGGTACCATTACGGCTAAAAGTCAAAATAAAAAAAAAATTATTTTTTTTTTCCAAAAAAATGAAACATAAATGTATAGAAATGAATGATATGTCAGAGAGATTATTAATTACCTCCATTGAGCCATAATGTTGAGGGAAGCAAGAGAGGGTGGGGTGAATCTGCTTCCACAAAAAAATAGAAGAGAGCTCTGCCATGTTCAGCATCTGTAACTATGTGTGCGGGGGTGATTTCCGCACTATGATGAAGGGTTGAACTTCGTGGATGAACAACGTGCTCTGGGAATTAAAGATCTGCACAGAGTAACAAACGGTGAGGCTGCCCGACCGGGATTTGGTTAGAAACCCCTCTGATGGTAAAGTCAGGGACTCAGGGAGAGGAAGAAGAGAGAAGAGAGAATACAAAGAGTGTATATGTGTCAAGTGTGTGGATTTCGGATCCCTTGAGAGTGAATAGTGTTCACCTTTTACAGGAGAAGGTTGTTTGTCGTTCAAGTCCTTCTCTCTCCGCCATCTGTCCAATGTGTCTTGTTCGTGGTCGTCTCCCATTGGAGGAGGACGACCACTCCGCCTGAAACTGGGGTGCAGGTCTGTTTTGTTTGTCTCATTAGCGGACATCTCTCATTGGAGGAGGACGACCACTCCGCCTGTCATTCAGATGCAGGTCTGTCATATATGCACCTTATCCCTCTGCACCTCTATGTCTCCACGTTCTGTTCATACAAAAGGAGAGGAGCAGAGTTGTTTGTCTCTTGTGGGTCCAAGAAAGATCTTCAGTGAATTAGCCTTCTTTGAGTTGGCCTACTCTAGACTGGTTGTCCAACCAGGAGGTCCAACATGTTGCTCAGCCCACTTCAGAGTGGTTGTCTGTCCATCCAGGAGGTTCAACATGTTACTCAACCTACTTCGGAGTGGTTGGCTGCCCGTCCAGGAGGTCCACCATGTTGCTCGGCCCACTTTGGAGTGACATTCGTACATTGGGCCAAGCTCCTATGATTGTCTTGCTTCGGAGCAAGTGTTGGCCATAGGGCCGAGGTCCAACCTAGCTCAATCTCGGAGTGAGCATCGCATTGGGCCTAGCACCAAGACTTGATTAATTTTTACCCACTTCACTATGTAACCTGAGTATTGCTTAAAGGAAATATTGCCAGGTTGACCTGGGAGTGAGCTGATTAACCCTCCACCACCACCCAAACAACATCTTGATCTTGATGAAAACAACACCACCCAAGAGATCACACTAGTATAGACAAAGAACCACTGGAACTGAATCATCTTCCACCAACCCAAACACACCCAAACACACACACACACACACATATATATATATATATATGTATATATTTCTTACTGTCTTCTGGGCCAATGATCTTTTTTCCAAAAAACCAATTCATCTAACTATCAAACAGTAAACTAAAAAAAGGAATAATAATATTTTAGGGAAAAAAAAAAAAACCTTAGGGCTTGACCTTTTTAACAAATTTAATTTTTAATTTTGTCAATTTATACTTTAAATTTTTTATTTGTTTTTTATTTCAATCATTTGCCTATTTTAATTAAGTTGAATAAAAAAAAAATATTTTAGTCATTAAACTTAATAAAAAATAATATTTTAAACATTTTATGTATATTTATATTGAGTTTAATAACTAAAATATTTTTTTTCTATCAATTCTACTTAAAACATGTGAATAGTTTAGATTGAAAATAAATAAAAAATTAGAATTTAAATTTATAAAATAAAAAATTTAAGATTTATTTTGTTATAGGTCTCAAATATCAAGTTTTTTTTTTAAAATTATTCTTAATATTTTATTCTTATCCGCACCGAATAAATTAAGAATATAAAGCAGACTTTTGTTTACAGGCGTCTGGATCCTCTAGAGTGATCCTCTGAAGTGATCCTCTAGAGTGATCCCTTATGGTGCAACACGTGTCCCATTAATGTATCCAACGACTGAGATGATCCCTCGCCAAAACGGCGTCGTTTTGGTGAGCTAGACCAAAAAAAAAAAATCGCAGAGTTGCAGATCGAGAGGGAGGAGGAAGAAGAAGAAAATGGATTTGAGAGAAACATGAAGAAAACAGATTTGAGGAAGAAGAAAACTCTGGCAGAGAGATTATTAATTACTGAGAGATGAAGAAGAAAATGAAAGTTCATCCATGGCGATGAACTTCTTGAGAGACCAAACCCATTAACCCTCTCGACTCGATCTGCAACTCTGCATTTTTTTTTTTTTTGGGTCTGGCTCACAGAAGAAAATGGAAGTTCATCCATGGTGATGAACTTCTACCCATTAACCCAACACAGCAAAAAAACTTTTCTTTCTTCTTCAAATCCATTTTCTTCTTCCAGTTTTCTTACATTTTCTTCTTCCTCCTCCTTTCAAATCCATTTTCTTCTTCTTCCTCCTCTCTCTCGACTCAATCTGCAAATCTGCAATTTTTTTTTTTTTTTTGGGTCTGGCTCACTAAAACGACACCGTTTTGGCGAAGGATCATCTCAGCCGTTGGATACATTAATGGGACACGTGTTGCACCATAAGGGATCACTCTAGAGGATCCGAATGCTGTTTACAGACCCTAGAATGATAAACGGGAATATAAAGCAGACTTTGGTTGACCATTGACCCTGGAATGATGAACGGGTAGTTAACAGTCATTTCAAACACCAATTTTTTTAACAACCCTCAAATTAATTATTAAAAAAATAATAAAAAAAACTATCATTTCAAACACAATTTTTTTAATCAAATTAAAATAAAAAAAATCAAATAACCAATTAATATATTTCTAAATGGGACCAAATTGATAATCAAATTAATATTTTTTTAGTGTCACATTATATTTACCACATTAGAGTGTCACATTTAGAAAAAATATAGTAATAAGTTGAGTTTTTAATTTTATCACACATATATGATAATTTATTATTCGATGGTGATTAAACATATCAGTGACAACGTGATATTATTATATTAATTTTTTTAGGTCTTGGTTTTGGTTTCAAAGAAATGAAACCAACTTTGAAAACAAAACAAAATATCAAACAAGATGTCCTGTTTGAAAACATGATTCAAATGAAGAAAAATACCAAATCATTGTAACATAAAAAAGATGAGCAATTATTTGTTGGTGTCTTGCTGCATAGGACAAGCACCAAGAGACTTTCTCTATTACAAATGTCCAGAGTCCAGGACTGTTCCAAACACAACACAAATTTCACTCTATAAGTTGGGGTTCCAAGCAAAAGGTCCCCAAATGTTGAATGAAAAATAGAGCCACACCAATTCAACCATGATGGGTTTAGGATTTTCAAGACTTGGGCAAAGGGGATCCCTGGAGGAATGCTCGGAAAAGTGTGAGGGCTTGAGAGGGGGAAGTGAAGGGCACTTCATGTGCTGCTCCTCTAACTGTTGCAAATGTCAAATAGGTAACATTTTCCCCCTTCCTTGATACCCCAAATGATTGACTCCATCCGGCCACCTGAAACCATAACAAATTTTTGATCAGTAAGTCTAGAAATACAAAAACTAGACACATAAAATACATGGATGGACGCAAGGGATTTTGCAAGATTTGTCAATACATCTTCTATGTCCGATTCTACGTTTGGTTTATGTGTTTTTTCTAGAGTTATTATTGTTGGTTATTTTTATTTATTTTTTATTTTTTAATTATACATGGACGCAAGGGATAACATAATATTACATCTTCTCTTAAAAGAAATTTCATTGTTAGTGTAATATAGCTGCAATATCTAGCTGTAATACTAATGATATTGTACACTTTCTGCTTTCGGTGTTAGCATCCTATGTACCACACTTTCCTCTCTATAAAAGAGAGTGATTTGCTCCTTGTAAATCACTGTACATAATACAATTTATTCAGTCTCTCTCTCTCTCTCTTTCTCTCTCTCTCTCTCTACCAAGTTTACATAGTATCAGAGCTAAGTTTATTTTCTCCATGTTCATAGTCTCGTACACAATGGCACTACAGAACTACTTCCAAACCGTTGTATCTTCCTACCAACCTGCTCAGAATTTCCTCACGATTCCAACGGCACCACCCACGTCACCAAAAACTCCGTCACGCGCCTTCACGCCCCACTTCCATGTTCAGCGCGTCTCTGTTTCCGCCACCACTCTCATACGCATTCTCACACGCCTTCCGTTGCGTGCTCATGTCATCTCTGACGTCAGCCCTGCCCTTTGCGTGCGCCGCTCTTGCTGCTGTGCGCCGCACGTACACCATCTTGCTATTGTGCGCCCTCGTGCACCATTCTGCTCCCTTGCGCCGCGTGTGCGCCATTCGGCAATCGTGCGCCCGCGTGCGCCATTCTGCTCCTTTGCGCCGCGCGTACGCCGTTCGGCTATCATGGGCCGCCCGCCGTCTCTGCTATTGTGCACCGCTCCGCTGGCTGTTATTGTGCGCTACTGACATCATCCGGCCCTCTGTTGACTTCAACAGCCCCTTTCCTAGCTATTTTTGACCTTCCAGACTCACTGGTATACTCTGTTTTACCAAATTTTGCTCCCACAGACTTGTTCCTATTTATTTAGTTCTACTCCATTTTTATTATGGATTGCCATGATGCCTCCTATCCAATTTATGTTCTATTTAATGGTTTCAATTATGTGTTGTGGACCCAAGCCATGTCTTCCTTCCTCAAAGGACGGAAACTTTGGCATATTATCACCATGGATGTGACCAAACCGGTGAAAGAGAATGCTGAACTTACTGCCAAATATGAAGACCAACTCGAAGATTAGGACAGTAAAAACTACCAGATCATTACTTGGCTTCGGAATACCTCTGTTCCCTCTATTAGTCTTCAGTTTGGCCGTTTTCAACTTGACTCTGTTCCCAATCCTGCTAAAGCCATTTGGGATTTTTTGAGAGATCGATACCAGACTACCGGTCTTGCCCATCAGTGTCAACTTCAGAGTCAACTCCATCGCATGCGTCAAGAAACCAGTCAGTCTATTAATGACTTTCTTTCTCAAATGTATTCTATTTGGGACCAACTTGCTCTCTCAGAACCGACATGGCCTCACCTTGAAGATGCTACTTTATTCACTAACTATCGTAATCAACAACGGTTGGTTCACTTTCTCATGACTCTCACTCCCTCTTTTGAGCCAGTGCGTGCCTTTCTTCTTCATCATCATCCATTGCCCACTCTTGACCAAGTTATTTCTGAGCTGTTATTTGAGGAGACTCGTCTTGGTACACTCCAGACTCATCATGTGGACTCTGTTATTGCCACTCATCAGTCACGGCCCTCACCAAACCAACAGACCACTGCTTGCCTCTATTGTCAGAATCGGGGCCTTCTTTCTACTCATCTTTTGGTTCATTGCCCTGTCCGATCCTGCCAATATTGCAACAAACTTGATCCTGGTCATCTGCAGCAGGATTGTTTTCGCAATCCAACCCGGTCATCTTCCACTAGTCACTCCTCTCGCGATGGCTCTTCTAGGGGGAGCTCTTATCGTCAGTTTAATCGCACTGCTACCGTTGCCTTTGAGGATTTCTCTGAGTCTCCTGCTCCGTATGCCCCTGTTTTTTCTTAAAGAGATGTTGAGGCCATGTTCAAACAGCTTCTCTCCACCTCTGGTACACCTCCTCCTACTGTTTTGTCTGTGACTCCAGGTAACTGTTCTTGGTATTTTGACTCCGCCTGTTGTAATCATATGACTTCCAACTCTACTATATGCTCCTTCATCTCTCCCTCTACTCATATTCTCGCCATTCATATTGCTGATGGTTCTCTCATGTCTGTCAGTCATGTTAGGACTGTTTCCACATCCCAGTTATTTTTACCTCAAGTTTATCATATCCCTGCTCTAACCTTAAACCTTATCTCTATTAGTCAATTATGTGAGCTTGGTCTAATCATCACATTTTCTGCTAATGGTTGTTTGGTGCACGACCCTCAGACAGGACAGACTATTGGGATCGACCGTAAGCATGGACGTTTCTATGAACTCATTCAACTTCATGTTCCGGACTCCCCACAGATCGCTGCTTCTGCATCTGCTTCCTCTTTATCTCTTTTTCATCTTTGGCATTGTCGCTTAGGACATCTTTATGTTAGTCGTTTAAAGTCTTTGGTTTTTAGTGGTCAATTGGGTCTTGTACTTCATGATACTTTTGATTGTATACCCTGTCAACTTGCAAAACAATCTGCTTTATCATTCAATAAAAGTACTTCTGTTTCCCGTGCTCCTTTTGATCTCATACATTCGAATATTTAGGGCCCATCCCCTACTACTACCATGGGGTGATCTCGTTATTTTGTTGTTTTTATTGATGATTATTCATGGTTTACTTGGATTTTTCTCATGAAAACTCAGTCTGAACTTAAACATCTTTATTATAGCTTTGCCAACATGGTCCACACCCAATTTTCCAAAACCATTAAAATTTTTCGCTCTGACAATGCTATGGAATATCGGCATACCGATTTCCTTTCCTTTTTCAGAGTCATGGTACTTAGCCTCACTGTTCCTGTGCTAGCACGTTCGAACAAAATGGACGTACTAAATGAAAGCAAAGGCATATTCTTGACACTACTTGCGCTCTCCTTCTCTCGTCTTCCTGCCCTAAAAACTTTTAGGGGGAAGTTGCCCTTTCTGTTGTGTACACTATCAATTGTGTTCCTTTCCCTATCATCCATAATCAAACTCCCTTTGAACGTCTACATGGCACTCCCCCTCCATACACCAATCTTCGGGTTTTTGGCTCTGCCTGCTTTGTTTTGCTTCAATCCCATGAACACACCAAGCTTGAACCTCGTTCTCGTCTTTGCTGCTTTCTTGGATATGAGATTGAGTATAAAGGCTTTCGCTGTTAGGATCCTTTCTCTAAGCGTCTTCTAGAGATGACAATTTGAACTCGGTCCGACAGGGACCCGGATTGCCCCGTCCCGATAAATAGGGTTTTCCCTAAAAATTATTCTCCATAGGACCGGGGCTGGTATTAAAAAACACATCCCCGATGATTTTCGGGCTGGGGACGGTGATAGGTTCCTAACCCCGGCCTCGGCCCGACCCTGCCCCGCAATTTCCCCGAGCCATCCCCGTTGCCCCCGTATACCTGTATATATGTAATATGTGTGTGTTTTTAGTATGTTTAGAATATAATATAATATAATATAATATGTGTGTATTTGGTGACTGTGTTTAGAATATATATAATATATATGTTTGGTGAGTTCATCCATTCAGAACTCAGATTATCAACACACACACACTCTCTCTCTTTCGTTCTTCTCCCCTCCCTCTAACTCTGTGAAACGGTGTCTCTCTCTCTCTCTCTTTCTTTCGTCCGTCCACCGACACCGACACCACCACCACTTCTCTCTCCCTTTCTCTTTCTCACACCTCATCTCTGCTGCCTCGTGATGTCTACAACGACTTCATCTCTAGATCTAGAAGATCTGAAGATCGTCTCCGGTGATAACGATCTCCGATCTAGGGCGCAAATCTGAGATAATGGTGGCGAGGGCGTCTGATCTGTGTTTGTGATTGGATTGGATCTGATCTTATTATATTTTCAGCTCTAAATTTATTTATTTTTTTGGTTAGGGTTTTCTTAGATCTGTGTGTGTAATGAACAAACATTGAGTTGTTGATGATTGTTGAGTTATCTAAAAATTTTTTTGTTAAATTGTTGATGATTGAGGCTTTTTTTGGAGATTTTTCAGATCTGAATTTCAGAGTTGAGTTTGTTGTGGTTGATGATTATCGGGGATTTTTTGGGATCGGGGAAGCCTGATCCCCGTTGGGGGAGGAGGTAGGGGTAATGGGTTCTCCGTCGGGGATCGGGGGTGAGGACGGGGATATTTTGACCTTCGGGGATCGGGGACGGGAAGTGCAGTCCCCGGTCCCACCCCAGCCCGTTGCCATTCCTAGCGTCTTCGTATCTCCTTTCACTTACCCGCACTCTCCACTCTGGTCATCTTTACTAATCCTTCCCTCGATCTTTTCTCTAACCACTTTGATACAGGTTCCTCCTTCATCGAGATGCCCTTGTTGATCCCTGATCCCGACGAGACTATTCTCCCTGATGGTCCACCTCTCCTTGCACCTTCTAGCCCGTCTCCTCCTTCTTCGCCAGCTCTTCTCCCTACCAATCCTCCCACAGGTCGGCTGTACCGAGTAACTCAACCACCTATTCATCTTCGTGATTATATTGTTGGGTCTGTTGCCTTTTCTACTTATGAACCCACCTCCTATCGTGAGGCTTGTACTAATCCTCTTTGGCAGCAAGCTATGACTAATGAACTTCAGATTTTGGACAAAACTCATACTTGGGATGTTGTTGATCTTCCTCCTAGCAAGACTGCAATTGGCTGCAAATGGGTCTACAAAATCAAGACTCATTCTGATGGCTCTATTAAGCGCTACAAAGCTCGTCTTGTTGCCAAGGGTTTCAACTAGGAATTTGGCATTGATTATGAGGAGATCTTCTCCCATGTTGCTCAACTTACCTCTGTTCGTAGTTTGCTTGTTGTTGCTGTTGCTGCTGCTCGCCACTGGGAGCTTTTTCAGATGAATGTCAAGAATGCCTTCCTTAATGGTAATCTTCTTGAGGAGGTCTACATGCAACCTCCACTTGGGTCTACTTTTCCACCTTATAAGGTTTGCAAACTACAACGTGCCCTCTATGGCCTCAAGCAAGCACCCTGCGCTTGGTTTGCTAAGTTCAGTTCTACCATTCATGACTTTAGGTTCACCTCTAGCTCCTATGACTCTGCTTTATTTATACAGATTACTCCTCATGGTACCACTTTTCTCCTTCTTTATGTGGATGATATGATTATCACTAGTAATGATGCAGCTGGTATTCTTCACCTCTAACGTTTTCTCCACTGTCAGTTTGAGATGAAGGACCTTGGTACTCTTAACTACTTCTTAGGCCTTGAAATCTCCCATGATTCTACTGGTTCCTATTTGTCCCAGGCCAAATATGCATCCGATCTTCTGGCCCGTGCCGGTCTTACTAATCGCAAAACTACCTCTACTCTAGTTAATCCTCAGATTCATCTCACTCTTCTCGATGGGGATCTCCTCTCAGATGCTACTCTTTATCACCAGCTCGTTGGTAGTCTTGTCTATCTCACCATGACTCGTCCTGACATTGCCTATGCTGTTCACATTGTTAGTCAGTACATGTCGGCTCCTCACACTCCCCATTATACTACTCTACTCCGCATCCTTCACTACCTCAAAGGCACTCTGTTCCATGGCCTCCACTACTCTGCTTCCTCCTCTCTTGAACTGTGTGCTTTTCTGATGCTGATTGGGCTGGGGATCCTACGGATCGACGCTCCACCACGGGTTTCTGTTTCTTCTTAGGGGATTCTCTTCTTACTTGGCATAGCAAGAAACAATCCCTCACTGCCCGCTCTAGTACCGAAGCTGAATATCGAGCTCTTGCTGATACTACTCAGGAACTTCTCTGGCTTCACTGGCTCCTTGCTGATATGAGTGTTTCTTCTTCTGGCACTACCTCTCTCTATTGTGACAATCAGAGTGCCATTCAGATTGCTCACAATGATGTTTTTCATGATCACACTAAGCATATTGAGATTGATTGCCACTTCATTCGCCAGCATGTTACCCGTGGCACTGTTCTTCTTCTCTCTATTGTTTCTGTCGATCAACCTACTGATATTTTCACAAAAGCTCATCCTCCTAGTCGCTTCAATGATCTCGTTTCCAAACTCAAGCTGGTTGATGCTTACCCTCCTTGAGTTTGTGGGGGCTGTTAGTGTAATATAGTATTGTTAGTGTAATATAGCTGCAATAACTAGCTGTCATACTAATGATGTTGTATACTTTCTGCTTTCGGTGTTAGCATCCTATGTCCACTGTTAGCATCCTATGTACCACACTTTCCTCTCTATAAAAGAGAGTGATCTACTCCTTGTAAATCATTGAACATAATACAATTTATTCTGTCTCTCTCTCTCTCTCTCTCTCTACCATGTTTACATTCACTGTATACAGAAAACACATTGATGGATGCACAAGATTTTGTTAGATTTGTCAATATATCTGCTGTGTTTGATCCTACATTTTATTTATATCTTTATGGAATTATTTGGTTTTTGGTTGAAGAAATTATGTATGGCGAGCAAAGGATAACAAAATATTATATCATCTCTTAAAAGAAATTTCATTGTACACAAAATACACTCTGCACATGATTTTGTAAGATTTGTCAATATAGTTTCATTTTGTGTTTGGTTTATGAGTTTCTAGTATTACTAGTTTTTTTAACATATTCTTTTAACAGAAATTTCACAATATACAGAAACTAAACACAAAAGACACATGGTTGAATGCACATCAATTCACAAGATTGTCAATATATCTTCATGTCCGATTCTATTTTTCGAATTATTGCTTTTTGATTGAAGAAACTATACATGGAGACCAAGAGATAAAAGAATATAACATATTATCTTAAAACAGAAATTTCACTATATATACATATAATGTTAAAAGGGGTCACTTACCTGCATGTTGTCATACCAAGGAGAATACCTACCAAAGGTAACAAGCTTCAACTGTCGAGCAAGCATGTTGGCGATGATTCGAGTTTGCGTGAGCGGTATTTTTGAATCTTGATCTCCACTGATGCGACATAAATGTAATTTTAAGCTCTTTGGGATCAATTTCTGAACATTTGTTGAAAGTTTAAAATAGCATTTTGTTGGAAGTGAAAAACAGTGAAATAAATCATTTCCTTTGATTAAAACATAATACAATAAAACAAAAATTATGACAAAGTAGCTTAAAAGAGTGCTTATGAAATCTAGTGGAACAAGTTTTAGCTGCAAATGACAGACTTGAAGTGGCTTATTCAAAAGAGAGTTATGAAACACAAACATTGTTTTTTATGTGGAAACAAAAATATGTGAGCTTTTGAACACAACAAATAAGTTGGTGGGGATGAAAAACCTATAAAGCAGGACAGGGATTTGATCTCTGAGAAGTCTCGACAAGAGAGGCAAAATATTGATTGCAAAATTCTCTCTCTGATAAGCTTGACTCCTGCAATATCATAGTGTGTAGCATACTGTATCATTAGCTGCAGAGAAGACTTAAATGCACAGAAGACTTTCACTGTAAACATGACACACATCTTCTGTGAAAATCTTCTGTTTTCCAAGCATAGTTGTTAACTGCATTCCACACGGCCACATATGTATCTATATTGTGTGTGTGTGTGTGAGAGAGAAGAGAGAGAGAGAGAGTACACTGGGCCTGAACAAAAACTCCAAGAGTATGGGAGGTGAGTGGTGTTGGCCTGTAAAGCTTCTTGTACTTGCGGTTTGTTAAGGTAGATGAATACTCTATCACTGAGGCATGGATCACCAACTATTGTTGTCGAAGCAACCTGTCACATAAAATTTGAACTCTTATTATCTACTAGAAAAGCTCTGTTGGTTGTTTGGCTTGTTACAGTTGGACATCTCACCAATGTAGGGATTTGTTGGTTGTCTGACTCGTTGTAGTTGGACATTTTGCCAAGGTGGAGATTTGTTAGATTATTGGCTCAATGTCCCATTCCCAATTTGATTTGGTTAGGTATTCTATTTTTTAATTGGAATAGAATTTGTGGGAATATTTATTAAGTCAAACTTGACTTGTTTTGACTCTCATATTAGTTAAATTTGTAAGAAACCTATTTGACTTAGTTTGAACATCCTAAAAGTTTTGGATTTAATTTTTCCTAATTGGTTTTAGATTGCATTGGAAGGAACCTATTTTTATTTTAGATTAGTCATAAGAATGATTATTTCACTATAAATAGATGGAGATTCTCATTCATTCAGTTGGACTATTTAGGTCCTTCGAAACCTCTCATAGGGGGTTTTGTTGGAAGGACTTCAGGTCTTTTGATTGAACTTTTCAGTTCCTTGGGAGACCCCAATTGCGTGGAGGATGGGGGTTGTCAGAAGGCCTTCAAGTCATTGGTGGACTTTTCAATCCTTGGAGGTCTCTCTTTGGAGACAGGCTATTGGCTTCTTTGGGTGTATTGCAGAAGGTTTTCTCCTACCTTCGTGATCCTTTCATGGATTCATACTTTCTTGGTCTTGGAAGATTCATATTCATCAGTTTGGAGTATATCTTGTTTGAGAATATTTGGTAGACAATCTACTTCAGATCTTAGTAGAGCTTCAGCGTCCTTTTAATTTTTTTTTTTTAATTGGCGAAAGTCAATTGTTAGTTGTTAGATTAGCTTATAGGCTATAGAAATTAGCCTCTCCACCCTTTGCCAAAGGCACCAAGTGCTTGCCCTCTTAATTTAACTCCCCCTAGGAGAGTTGAACCCATAACCTCCCCTTAGGACCTAAACTCTTAGGAAAGTTATGGTGGCCAACTAAGTTAGGCCTAGTTAGTTAGTGGCCTATTAGAGGTATTATTTTGGAGACTTTCTTTATATGAATTACACTGGAATTTAAGGTTTGAAATACCAATTAGCAGTGTCTTCATATCCAATAATACACACCAAGCTCTTCAATGTTTTCCACTTACCTTTGCAAGTAATTCATTGTGCACACCTTTGGGAGCAAATTGAGTTACACTAGGCAACAAGCAAGTGGGCAGGAGGAGATCGCTGGTATCAGTGTCACTACCCATCTCCTCTTTCATTCTTTGAAACACATTGGTGCATTCCTTTGACAGATTGTGATGAATAAACTCCAACAAGTACTTTGATTCATTACACACAGTGTTTTTCAGCATAAGCATTTCATCTGAAATGACTCCATGAGACCACAAATATTCAGCATCATTCACACTGATTTCGATATCTAAAAGCGGGTTACCCAACTGCCAAAAAAATAAAAAAAAGTTGTTACGATGAAAATTTTGAAGCTAAAGTTATCAAGAGATAATAAAAAAAATCTGCTACAATGTTTGTTTTGAGTGATTTGAAAACTTACTGCAATTGCTTTGAGCTTGACTGGTTTGATGTTGGGTTGTTTGTTGTAGTCTAGCAATAATGCTGCAAGCTGTGGAATGTAGTGACCTACCACCATTTTGTGCACAAATGTTATTTATTGTTTTGTGGATAGGGTTAGGAAATTTAGGGGAATAAATAGTCTCACATATGTTTTTTTTAGTACGATTAGATTGTTATTTGAAGACTTATTTTTTAGGATAAATTATAAATACATTCATGAGATTTATTAAAAATATAGATTTTTCGCTTATGTTTGAGAAATCACATAACAAATGCCCCATCTCTTAATCAACTATTAAGTCAAATTAACAGAGTGTATGGGGGTAAACAACAAATTTTTTTTCTAGAATAACATTTATGAAGTTAAAACACTTTAATTTTTTTTTTTTTATCTCACCGTTTTTGCTCTCTATTTTCTTTTAATTAGTAACACTACTTTGCCCAATCATTACACCTCCCACTTTTGATCAGCAACACCGTCATTATTGCCTACAAGAATTTGATTTGTCATTAAGAAATGTTAGAGAATAATGTGGTGCTGTAGAGAAAGGAATTTGGTGGTGGATGGATGAATGAAAAGGATGGTAATATGATAATTTTATTTTGGTATTGAAGGGTACTTGGGTAATTTTATTTTTTTCCCTATAGGCTAGTTACAGGAAAAAAATTGACAATGGAGTAATTTATAAATTTTAGAACGTGAAGAAGGAATCTATAGTCTTAACAAACCTCACTAGCAAAATAAAAATAAAAAATAAAAAAAAGCCTCAAGAAATATATTTATAATGTATTTTAATTTTTATTATTATAAGAAAAATGTATTTTAATTTTTATTGTATGATAGTAGAGGAAAGATAAGGGTTGGTTTAAAAATTAACTTTTTAGTGGTTATTGACTGTTTTATGAAAATACGTGCAAAAATATAGTATAGAAAATTAATTGACTTTTTATAGTACATTTTTTTAAAACATTTTCCCTATATCAACCACGAGCAATGGTAGAGGGCCACAAAAAGTGTGGCTCAAATGGCTCAAATCTGTCAAAACGACGTTTTGGACGCAAAACAGTGCAAAACGGCGTCGTTTTAGCAGTTTTGAGCCATTTGAGCCACATTTTTTGTGGCCCTCAAACATTTTTCATCAACCACTTTCCTAACTTTTTAATTCTTACATTTAACTTTTATGAAGAAAAGTTTGATACCATTTATGATAGTTTATTTCTCCCTCATTATAGAGATTGGTACGTAGTTAATGGTTGTTGGGCTTGAGCTTGGCTTGGTGAACTTTGTTTATTGGTTGTGTTGATACGTAATTAGTACTGGTTGCTGAGCTTGGGTTTAGCTTGATGGACTTAGTTTATTAGCTGTGTTAGACTTTTTTGACTTTCTAACTATTGTGAATTAGTAATCTATTTGATAATGTAAAATTTTTTTATACTTGTAAAACACATCATCATCATCAACAAAAAAAAAAAAAAAAAATTCCCAAACACACTGTTTGATGATATAAATATTTTTTATATTTGTAATTACTCTCCTATCTATTGATTAAAAAATAAAAAAAATAAAAAAACAAAATTCATTCCCACCCTCTAATTCATCTAAACAAGCATATTCCAATGTTGACGGTAAAGAAGCGTTGCAAATAAACAAAATAGAAGCTATTGTTGACTTGATTCTCTGCTCAATTTAAAATTAGTTTTTAAAAATTTCTTAATTATATATAACAAAAATAAATAAATTATATTAAATTTAAATTGTAGCGATAAGAGGGAATTGGGGTTGTTGTCGAAATGGGCCCATTTCGGGAGCCTTTTTCGATAATCCGAACCGTTCATATTTTAGAATACATTAAGTAGAACATGTCTGCAAAAAATTAAGTTAATCGGATATCGTTTACCTATTCATCCACACACGTTTATATTCGTTTTAATACTTTAAATTGTAATTATTATTTATTTTTGTAGATACAAATGCGAGTGGATGAATGGGCGAAAGATGTCCGATTAACTTGATTTTTTGCAAACATGTTTTACTTGATGTATTCTAAAATGTAAACGGTTTGGATTATCAAAATGACCCCTAAAATGGACCCATTTCGATGCACATGACCTCTAAAATGGACCCATTTCGATGCACAACAGTTGCTGCTGCGCGGGCTGCGCAGCAGCCCCAATTTGCGATAACAGTAAGAAGGTGGGATAGAGAATTCAAAGCTTGTTTTTCATTGAATGTTTACCTGCATAACTCTCCCCAGTCAAATATAAATCAGAGTCTCTATAACTTGGAAATTCCTTGAACCAGTTAATAATGAATTGCAGATTGTCCTGAGCTGCAAAAACCCAAGGATTTCTGGACTGAATTCCAAATTTAATCTTACACAAACAACTAGGAACCAAAAAAAAAAAAATATATATATATCTATAATCACAGTTGAAAAAAATACCAGTTTGAGTATCATTCCAACTGATGTAATCTGAGCTTGTGTTTGAGTAAGAAAACCCAACTCCAATGGGGCTCTCTACATACAGCATGTTTGATTCTGTCCATATTTTCAAATTACCATCAAAACTCTTTGTTGCAAATAACAAATCTCAGAAATGGGTTTTCATGTAATTAATCAATTAAACATAAATATGATGACAAAATTACCCAAATTCCAGGAATATTTGTTTTTCAGCAAGACTCCATCAGACCTCGGCTGGAATGGGCCATGCTCCATAAATGCACCAAAGCCAAGAGAAGAACAACCAGGGCCTTCAATTCAATCCAATCCAAAAATAAATAAATACCAAACAACATTATATAAAAATTTTAGCATTGATTAATAAACGCTACGTTTGTTTCGACAACAATGTTATTTGGAGAATGTTTAGTATAATCAAAAAACAAAGGATTAATTTTACTTTTATCTCCTAAATTATATAGGTTTTTGGAAGGGTCAAAATGCTAATTTCTCTCATAAATACTTAAATAACATGAGAGTAATTAGAATTTTGTGAAATTTGATCATCACTACTATTACTGCCACCACTACTATTAAAAGTTAAAATAAATAAAAAAAAAAATTGATTTTTTTCCCAAAAAAAATGAAACATAAATAAATGTATAGAAATGAATGATATGTCAGAGAGATTATTAATTACCTCCATTGAGCCATAATGTTAAGGGAAGTAAGAGAGGGTGGGGTGAATCTGCTTCCACAAAATAATAGAAGAGAGCTCTGCCATGTTCAGCATCTGTAACTATGTAACCTGAGAACTGCTTAAAGGAAATATTGCCAGGTTGACCTGGGAGTGAGCTGATTAACCCACCACCACTACCCAAACAACATCTTGATCTTGATGAAAACAAGACAACCCAAGATATCACACTAGTATAGACTAAGAACCGGTGGAACTGAATCATTTTCCACCTACCCAAACACACCCAAACACACACACACACACACACATATGTATATATATATATATATATATATTTCTTTTTAATGATGTTAAAAATATGTTTCAATTAATAATTTAGGTAATTTTATTATTGTATAGGAGATCAATTATGAATTTCATTTTTTTCTTTAATTCTTTTAAATAAAAATTTCTAATAAGGGGGTATTTGTAATTTTTCAAATCACATGAGGCAATCTATAATTTAAGCAAATCTCAAGCGGTATATTTGTAATTTACCTAAAAAAGATTATAGGATTTGATCATTTTAACAAATTAAACCCTAAATTTTTAATTTTATTAATTTAAATCTCAAAATTTTGATTTGTTTTCAATTTAAACTATTTGTTTATTTTTGTTAAGTGAAATTAACAGGAAAAAATGATATTTTAGTCATTAAACTCAATAAAAAATAATATTTTAGACATTTTATTGAGTTTAATAACTAAAATATTTTTTTCCTATTTTTTTCCTATCAATTTTACTTAACAAAAATATGTGAATGATTTAGATTGAAAGTAAATCAAAAAAATTGAGATTTAAATTGACAATTAAAAATTTAAGATTTATTTTGTTACAAGCCTCAAATATATATATATATATATATATTTGTAATTATTCTTAATATTTTATTCTTATCCGCACCGAATAATATTTTATTTGTAATTATTCTTAATATTTGGTTGACCATTGACCCTGGAATTATATACGGGTTATTGAACGGTCTTAGGGGTGGTTCGGCATCCCTAAATAATCCATCTTTTTATTTTTTTATCTTTTTTTCATCACATTATCTCTCTATTTTTTTACACATCTTTTTATAAAAAGACAAAAAGTGCACTTATTTAGATCATCCCAAACAACCCCTAAATATTACTCAACATTATTTGGGTTGGTTTGAAAAGTGTGTTGAATTTTTAATTTTTTTGGTTATTTTAATTTGAGATTAAAAAGTCTTGTTTGAAAAGAATTTTTTAATTTTTTGTGAGAGAAAGAATGTAATAATTATGGATTGGGTGTGATTTTTGTTTTATTAGGTAAAAAAATTTATTTTGTCTTTTTGTGACTAACATAACCCCAAATCCAACCTAACCCTTCTTCCCAAACGAATCCTAAGTGAGTAATTTTAGGAATTTTAAAATTGAGTAATTTTAGGAATTTTAAATATTTTATCAATATTTTTAGGACAAATTACACTAATAGTTCATGTAGTTAGAATTCGTGTCACTTTGGTCTCTAACTTTTCAATTGTGACACATTTTACTCTAAATTTTGATTCTTATTTCAAATAAGGACAATTGAAGATACCATTGATTAATTTTAAGAGTAAAATTGTCAATTAATAAAATATAAACTAATTTGACAAAAATAAATGTCAATTTTTTTTAAAAAAAAAATTAAAAATTATTTCTACCAACCAGAGATAAAATTATATAAAATTGATAAAATCCTTTAGACATTTATTTATTAATTTTTTATCAAATTATTTTTTATTATGTGTTTGGATGATAATCATATAATCAGTGATTGTTAGGATTTTAATATGTAATCTATATATTTAATATATAAAATATTTTTAATTTTAGAGTTTTTGATGTAATGGATAGATTTAATAATGATATTAAAGTTGTCGTCATATTTGACTTTTATAAAAATAAAAACTAATTTAATGAAAATAAAAACAGTCACCCATTACATGATTATCATCCAAACGTATAATAAAAATTAATTTGGTAAAAAATAAATAAATGTCTAAGAAATTTATCAATTTTATATAATTTTATCTTTAGTGTGTAGAAATAATTTTTAAAAATTTAAAAATATAGTTTGACATTTATTTTTGTCAAATTAGTTTATATTTTATTAAATTAACAATTTTACCCTTGAAATTAAGCAAAGGTATCTTCAATTGTCATTATTTAGAACAAGATTCAAAATTTAGGATCAAATATGTCATAATTGAAAAGTTAGTGACCAAAGTGACACAAGCTCCAAACTTTAGGGACAATTATGTGTAATCGGCCCATATTTTGAGCAAATATCTCATATGAGTGTGAGATTCACATATGACCCACATGATATAGGTCTCACATTTATGTGAAATATTTAATAAAAATATTAATAAAATATTTGAAATTCCAACATTTAAAAAATAAATAAATAAATACTATGGGCTCCAAATTTTTTATCAAATAAATGACAAAAGATTTCACATGGGTGTGAGATTTACAAAATTACAGATCTTACACCAATGTAAGTTATTTGATCATTTATTTAATAAAAAATTTAATATCTTCAAAATTACTTAAAAAAATAATAAATCTTATTATTTTAATTAATAAAATCTTAGAGCACCACTTGTAGTAAGAGTAAGGACTTATTTGTCATGCACTAAAAAAGTTAAAAAGTTAAAAGTTTACTATTTTATTTAAGTCACATCATCTTTTTACTATATTAGTTCAAACTCAACCCAAATTTAACCCACATTTCATAATAAGTCAAAAAATTATACTTATTTAAAATATCTCAAACAATTCCTAAACAATAATTTTGGAAAGAAAAATGTTTGGGAGCTCTAAATTGGGAGCACTAAAGGAGCTCTAGAGAGTGGGTCCCACTGACTGATGTGATGTTTTGGCCTTAAGTTTTTTTTTTTTTTAATTTTCACCTCATTAGTGGTCTATTAATGCTCCCAAATTAATGGGATGTATCATTATTGTTTTGGAAAAAGTGAAACACGAGAAAGACCCATGATTGGTGCACTTCAGTCAGTATTTCTAGTTGGGATTGTTGCACATTCCATCAACGGTGTTGTTTGGTTAGAGATAATTTTATTAAAATAGTTAATAAAATAAAATAAAATTAAATTAATTAATAAGATAAAATATTAAATCTAATTTATAATTGTTTTATTTTTTTTAATAACCATCAAATTAATTATGAAAAAAATAACTACCATTTTAAACACAATTGTTTTAATATAAGTCAAAAAATATACTTATTTAAAACATCTCAAACAATTCCTAAACAATAATTTTGGAAAGAAAAATGTTTGGGAGCTCTAAATTGGGAGCACTAAAGGAGCTCTAGAGAGTGGCCTCCACTGACTGATGTGATGTTTTGGCCTTAAGTTTTTTTTTTTTTTAATTTTCACCTCATTAGTGGTCTATTAATGCTCCCAAATTAATGGGATGTATCATTATTGTTTTGGAAAAAGTGAAACACGAGAAAGACCCATGATTGGTGCACTTCAGTCAGTATTTCTAGTTGGGATTGTTGCACATTCCATCAACGGTGTTGTTTGGTTAGAGATAATTTTATTAAAATAGTTAATAAAATAAAATAAAATTAAATTAATTAATAAGATAAAATATTAAATCTAATTTATAATTGTTTTATTTTTTTTAATAACCATCAAATTAATTATGAAAAAAATAACTACCATTTTAAACACAATTGTTTTAATCAAATTAAAATAACTAAAAAAATCAAATAATCAATTAATATATTCCTAAATGGGACCAAAGCGAATTTAGGTGTACAAACTTAAGTCATGTTTTGACAATGGAAAATTCTCATTTAAGTAAATATTTGAAAAACTATTTTTAAATTATTAATAAATTTTATAAATATTAAAAAATTAAATTATAATTCTTTTTTTTATTTTGTAATTAATTTTTTTATCAATCCACTTACATGAGATTTTCTCTTTGAGAATTGCCGAAATAATTAAAAAGTAATTATAAAAAGTAATTTTTTTTACTTTTATTTTGGATAAATTATAAATGTATTTTTGAGATTTGCTTAAAATACTAATCATCCGTTGTGATTTTAGAAATTACATTCTGCCTCCTGAAATTTTTAATTTCATAACAAATTATCATTTTTATTAATAAATCATCAGGTCAATTAATAATTTTTAATGATGTCAGAAATATATTTCAATTAATAATTTATGTAATTTTATTATTGTATTGGACGACTGCTAGAAATTTTATTTTTCAATTAATTATGTTAAATAAAAAATTATAATAAGGGAGTATTTGTAATTTCTCAAAACATATGGAACAATCCATATTTTAAATAAATATCAGGAGGTGTATTGATAATTCACCTTTTTATTTTTTAAATATTTTTCATAAAAAATTTAAAAATTATTTAAAAAATTAATTTTCAAACGAATCCTAATTATTTGATAGAGAAATCTATTATGAAAGTGGTACACAATAGAAACAAAAAATTAATTTACTTGTACAATTCATATTAGCAAATAATTAATATTTTAATTTTTATAAAATATACATAAAAACACAAGAAAAATGAAGGAGAAATTACCGGTAAATCTTAAATTAAGGAATGATGATCCATTTAGTCCTGTGTTTTTTTTTTTCTTCTTATAAACCATTTGGTTCTATTTAATTGGTAAGGAATATTTTCTTTTGATTTGGCATGGGCGAAGTTTACACATTTACCGTTGTTATAATTTTGGTGGATTTTTTTGCTCATTTGTGTGTAATAATTGAGCTAGTAACTGTAGACACCCCATTTTTTACCGTCCTCAAGATCTGGACGTCACCGTTCGAACACTCGATGATCATCCATGTTCGTGTTCGTTTTGAGTTCCCGGAGGCCGATGGACTCCTTTTCTGGTCGGTACCACCTTTTTGCCTTTTTCAGGCATTATTCATGTCAGTTGTGCCAGCTGGAGTGCACGGACCTGTCCTCCATACACGTATATAGAGGAATTTGCACCATTTGCACCCTTTTGGTCTAGCTTCTTGGGGAAGCTTGAACCTTTGTCTTAGCTTCCTCAAGAAGCTTGGACACCTGTCTCAGTTTTCTAAAGAAGCCTTGGCCCCTTTGCCTTACCTTCTTTGAGAAGCCTTGACCCCTTTTGTTAGCTTCTCTTGGAAGCTTAGGCCTTTGCCTTGTCTATATAAGAGAGCTTTTTTCTTCCTTTGAGGACGTTCAGCAAAAACTAGAGATAACACATATATATCTGATATATAAACCACTCTCT